CGAGACCGAGAGCTTCCGTGTAAATTCGGACCACCACCTCCTCCTGGTTCGCAGTTAGTTACCTTACTCCGATCCTGTTACCTCACTCTAACTCACGGTATCATTATCACCTGTGCAACTTCGCAACGGAACTTCACAAAAGCTACATCTATATTAGCACACGACACTTGAAGAGGAACCACTCTCTAAGCTAAGTAACACGGATATACGCAGAGAGGATAAAAACGGAAGGACGAAGATTCTGCGACGTTTCCGTGACCTTGGCTCGGTTTCTGACAGATCCGCGTAGACGCAAACGGACGGACGGCGTCGCGGTGCAGGGGCGCGAGATCCCCTTAGGTTGAAATCGGGGCTCGTCGAGAACGAGCGCCTAGCAACAGCGTGTCGCGAGAACGACGCGCGTTCGTCGTCTCCACGGTTGCGTCAGGTATACGTTTTGCCGGTTCAAGGGGAGCAGGCGCTTTGCTGGGTGCGGCAGCCTGCGCCGCGACGCCCGGCGTCCTTCCCCCGGTTAGAGACTCTCCCGTCGAGCCTGCCGCCTCTCTTCTCCCCCTTCGTCCCTGTCTGTCGGCCTCCCACCGGTTCGTCGGCCGCCTACCCTCGATCCTGACACGGCTCGCAACCCCCCAACACATACACCGATGTGTATGCGTGGCCCAGGGGCGAACGTTCACGTCCGATCCTGCCGGTTCTACCGTCCCTCCAATTCCTCTCTCTTTCCTACGTTTCACGATTGTTGCGCAGCGTATAGAGAGGAGGTATTTGCTGAATTTATTTTCTTTATTCGAGATAGCGAACATGCTCGACTGATTTACTTCTGCAAATAGATCCGTATCGTTCTAGAGTAGATTACACTTTTCCGAGAGAGAATCCTCGACGATCGAAAGCTTGGGTATCGTAGAAGGGGTAAAGAACTTTAATAAGAGGACAATTGAACCGATTCGTTAACCGTGACTGCAGGCGACTGATGAAAATTCCATCGCGATATGAAACACAGAACACTCGTTTGGCAAACATCAAAGAGTAGTCAAGGTTTCGATGGGAGAGAATCACACGGAGAGGGTAAATGGAAATGGAGCTTTCAAGTATTTTCCACGGCGTTTCTGTAGATAGGAGGGAAGGATGCCCCGCGTTTTCGACGGCACTTCGCCGAGGAGAACGTCGGCTCGAGTTAGCGGCGTGTAACTCGGCGAAATATCCGGCAACGTTTGCCAACGTTTCGAACGTTTGCCAACGCGGTAGCCGCAAGTTCACCAGCACCTGGTACACCAGCCCATCCCCCGTGCCATTTGCGAAATTAGTTCTGCAGTTACGGCCTCGACTATCAGAATCAATTTCACCGGTGATCTCGCGTAAGAATGCGTCCCTGGCAGGAAGAACGCGCTCGACAGCCCCTGCAGCCACGGCAACCGTGCTAGCCGCGACATTGACCGACCCTACGCCCACGTATAATTTGCCAAATTAGTATATTAACTCGATTATGAGAATACAGTGGGTACACACGACCTTGGGACCTCATTTATGTAGCGACGTTGTCGAATTAACGACGATAGATTCTCTCGTCCTAGTTATTTCAAATTTCCCGCTCTTACCAATTGCGGAGGTTCTTGTCTAGTACGTACAGTCGATAAAATTGATATAGTAAGATCGTAACATTAGGCAAAACAGCAGTTTGATGAATATGAAGATACTTAAAAAATTCGCCTACTTCATAATCCTCAAACTTTAATTCAACACCTCACACTATCGATTCAATCAACTATACACTGCCAGTGAAGAATCGCAGACTACCCTAAATCGCAAGTTACTCAAGAATTTTCAGAAAAACGTCAGTCCGCTAGATTCTGTCGATTTAGATTCGAAGCTACAAACACTCCTAATTAGAAAAATCTGTCGGTGAACAATTCAACCCATCCGTAACACTTCTCTCCCAGCATCTTTCACCAAATGTCCCGTCGCGTGTTGCTCGTAAACTCAGCTCCGTCTATTTCTAAAAAGATCCACGCTCGACCTTGGAAGTATCAAAAGCCCAGAGAGAGAGAGAGAGAGAGAGAGAGTCCAGGCGATGCGTTTCAGCGTCGCGTCTGGGGAAGCGGGCTGAGAAAACAATCCGGCGTCTGAGCCGGGAACGACGAGTTAATTCGCGCGGTTATTTTCACGAAGCGTTGCCGGTGCGCGATAAACGCCGGGTCTACGTCAGGCTATCGCGCTGAATGGAGTGGCACGGTTCGTCCCCGATAGCCGAACAACCCTCGAGAACCGTTCACTCGAACAACCCGCAACCAACCCTGCGTTCCTCGAGCAGCGCCTATGCGCATACATAACCCCGCCGTTACT